CTCTCTCTCTCTCTCTCTCTCTCTCTCTCTCTCTCTCTCTCTCTCTCTCTCTCTCTCTCTCTCTCTCTCTCTCTCTCTCTCTCTCTCTCTCTCTCTCTCTCTCTCTCTCTCTCTGTACTCCTCTTACTTTCTCTATGTACCCATTCCCTTTTGCTCTCTGTACCAATCTCTTTCTATCTCTGCCCATATCTATATATATCGATTTAATAATAAATTAAAAAATCTTAAATATAAACTACTCGCCTAGTAGGTCTCGGGGGAGATATAATGATCCGCTAGAGGCACCACCATCCAATGACAAGGAAATACTATCAGAGGTTATGTTGAATTTTGACATCCTAGCGCCATCTAGTGTTAAAAATAATTATAAAGAGCATATATGGAATAACCCAGATATATATCAGGAGCTAATAATGACAACTTTGTCATTATTAGCTCCTGATATATATGGAATAGGCCTAACCCAGATGGATATATCACGTGTGCGCGTCCATTAGTGGGTGTGTATGTGTGTTTGTGTGACTGTAAAAACGCGTATTATAGCCGTATTATCATATTTTGTGCTTTGGGGGTGAAATTTTTTTGGCTGAAATACAGCTATTTGGCTGGCAAACTTTTCACCGTGCGACTGGTGCCGTACGTGGGCGATACTATCCGCGAGACCTGGGTGGGGGTCACTATATATGCTGGTATTACCCCATGTGCGTTCCAAATTTTGCGGGTTAGGGGGGTGTTTTTCAACTTCTAAAGCGGGCCCGCGCGGGAGCAAATATACTCCCCTTTACAAAGCTAATCCCGCAATAAGCCCTCGGGATCGTTCAAGTCAAGCACCGCGCCCACAGTAGGCCCCTCTCACGGGCCTCCTCTATTCCCTCCACTCTTTGTCCTCCACTTGTCTGCAAGACCTCGCAATAGGGGGTAGGGGTCCGGGTAGAACTCTTTCATTGTGTATGCAATAGGGGGTGGGATATTTTTTATTGTGTATGCAATAGGGGGTGGTATTCTTCAATTGTGTCTGCAATAGGGGGTAGGGTTTTCCAATGTGCAGTTCGCACTAGGGGGCCTATTATTTTTAGTGACAACGCAGTGAACGCACATGGGGTAATACCGGCATATATAGTGACCCCCCCCCCCGGGCCGCCAGAAGGGAGTAATGAAGGGAGCAAGGGTAAAGAAACACAGAAAGGCGTGTATAGAACTATATAATGTGTATATAGCGCCTGAAAAAAAGACAACATTTCTGAGAGAGAGGGAGAGCGAGAGACAAACACAAACAAAATAACACAACAGCTTAAACAAACAAACCATCCGCCAGATAATTCATTTTAAATTAGCTCAGAGATTAACCAATAGATGGCGCTTTTGCAATTTTGGAAAATGGCGTGGTATTTTTCTTTTTCAATGTTGTTACTGCATATTTTATAGACGTTTTTAGCGCTAAGACACTCAGCATTGAGAGCGAAGAGACTTTAAGCATTCCGTAGTTGAGAGTTAAGCTTTCGCTGTTGCTATATAAATAAATTAGCATCAGGCGAGACATGACACTAGCTCAGACAGCTATTTGGCATTGTCAATGACAATGTCACATGTGACCAATGGGCCGATATATCAATATACTAATAGTACTAATAGACTAATAGTAATACACCGGTTGACAGTTTAACACTGCGCATGCGCTAAGCCTAAGGTCAAAGGTCGGGAGGAATTTTCCGTCCCAGAATTGCGAGTAAAATACGCAAACAATGGCGTTAACGTGTAGTGTGAAGGGCTGCTCAAACGGATCGTATTGGCTTAAGAAAAACTTAGAGCATGCATTGACCATAATTTAAATGTATCAAGTGTCATGTCACTCAGGTCATCCATTATCGGTGCTCTTTTCCCTGCTACGTGCACTGTTCTTCAACACAAAGGTGAGCGACCTGCGTATGCAAGGCAGATAATGCATCGAGATAAACAACATGGCGGAGTTTACTCGCACATCCGGGCTCTCGAGGAGATGCGAAACTACTGGCGCAGAACATAGGCGCAGAACTGTCAATCGGTGTATGGGGATAGTAATACTAAACTAAAGACTAAAGTAATGCTCATACTCATAGGGTCTATGTCCCCCAGGGTACTGCCGGAACGTACCCTGGGTACGGTCCGGTATACCGGAACGTATCCTGGTAACTATCTGATAAGGTTAGGGTTAGGAAGTAGGCGTAGGTGACTCCCTAGACTCGACGTTAGTGGAGTAGGCGAGGTACGGTGCGTAATATTAGATAGTACCAGCAGATAGTATGCTCTGGTACCAGGGTACATTCTGGCAGTACCCTGGGGGACATAGACCCTCTCAGCTAAAGTAATGGAGTGCTGCACTTCCGGTGTTTTTAATTGATTCCTCGCAACCCATCGGTCAAGCAACAACCTATAGCTATTAGCTTGTAACCGGATACTGAAAGGATACGTGTCGAGCTTTTAAACTTCAAAATAACCCAGTCACACTTAAATATATCATAAATATAACCGTGTTTATTTTAGTAAGTACAGACACCTCCAGTACAGGCAGTCCCCGGGTTACGAACGTCCAACTTACGAACATCCATAGTTACGAACCGACCTCCCATAAAGCCTATTATATTAAAAATTCGAGTTACATACAGTGGTTCGTAATAACGAATGGACGGGCTACTTTGTGACGCACATCAAAACATTGCGCGTTTTCAGCGGTTCGTTGGCTCACACGTAAACACTGTTGCGTGTGATATGTACTGTATACTAAGACATACATTTGACTAACTGACACTAGATACGAACCGTATGTACCTGTTCCGTCTTACATACAAATTCGACTTAAAGACAGTCTTAGGAACGGAACCCGTTCGTAACCCGGGGACTGCCTATACTTACTTAGCCTTGGGAGTAGCACTACTGCCTGGTAGTAGGCGCAGTGGATTTGCACCTATTTATAAGTATAATACTCTATATTATACAGTTCTGTGTAGTAGTACTAGACCCGTTCCTGCATTATTACTTCATTGCTGGTTTATTCTGCTGTGACCTGTGTGTAGGACAAGGAGTGGAAGAATTAGTACCAATAGGCAATACTAAACCCTGCACGGTACGTGAAATTTCCAAGATGGTACGCTGGTTTATTCCTGGCTGGCCTACTCCCATTTCGTCTATAGCAAAACTCCAAGTTTGTCTACACCCATTTTGCCTACTCCCGATTCGTCTACACTATAATGATTTGCCAGCTATTATACAGTACAAACGCCCAAGAAATTACTAGCCCGTCTGGCTAGCATTGATGGGACATTTGGTAGCCCGAACACAACTTTCACTAGCCCCGGGCTATTGGGCTAGCATTAGTGTCGAACCCTGTATGTGTACACACATAAGGTTGAGGGAGAATAGAAAGCATAGGAGAAAGAGATAGCAGAGATTAAGGGAGAAAAAAACGAGAATTAAAGAAACAGTGGTCGGGCCTGAAGAAGAAAAGAAAGGAGAGAAAAGTGAGAGTGAGAGGGAGACAGGTATATCGGGCAGCGGCATGTGTAAGTAGGGACATTGCGTTTCATTCATTGCTAATCCACCTCTATGATTTACAGGCGGTGCCATATACGAAGGTCTCACATGTGACGGATGCTACTGTAATGAAAACAACCCGAGAGACATCTTGGTAGACAGCAGAGATGGGCACACAGTAGTGGAGTGTGCTGGGACTTGTTCATCACAGTCAAGTTCAAGTCTCCATCGCGCAGGCCGCACGCTTCCTCCTTTTAGGAATCAAGTCAGAGGGTCTGGGTCAGGATCTGGCTTTACGTTCGCATGTGCCAAGCGGGGTTGAGACAACACCTTGACTGGTCAGAGCAGGGAATCGCACCTCCCCCCTCCACGGCGGTAGGGAGTTAGGGTTGGGGTGTCGCGGCTCGCAGTTACCTGGCACAATCGCGTTAGTCTGGAATGACGTCGTGTTGCGGCCGGGCGCGCGCAGGCGCTCCTCCTCACCATAATGTGCACAATGT